CTCATGTGCGGGGGGGGGGGGTAGTGGGGAGCAGCCTGCCCTCTGTCGCCTCTCTCTAGAGCAGTGGTTCTCAACTTTCCTAATGCTGCAACCCTTCAATGCAGTTCCCCATGTGTGGTGAGCCCCCCCCCCAACTGTAAAATTATCTTTGTTGTTACCTCAACCGTAATGTTGCATTGTAATGTAAATATCTGTGTTTTCCAATAGCCTTAGGCAGCCCTATGGAAGGGGTGGGAACTGCTGCTGGAGAACTGCTGGGGACCCATGAGCAAACTCCTCCTCTGGTCTTTCCTGACCAGTGGGTGCAGCGAGTGTCCTGCTTTCCTTATGTGGACTGGAGGGCAGGGTGCTAACTGTTGGGGTAGAGGGTGACACAGTGTCTCCCATGAAAGAGTGTTCAAAAAAAAAAAAAAAAAAGCCACCACCAATTCATTTGTTACAGTGGGACTAGACAGAAAGTCAATTTGCTGGGATTGCTGTACATGTTGTCACGACCAAGGGTGGCTTTTGGAAATGAGCCCTCCTTTTTGGTTGTGTGGCTGTGTGTGTGTCTATGAATGAGTGTCGTGTGCAGAGCATCACAGTAGCCGCCCACTGTTGCTTTTCCCAGAGACCTGGGATCTCACCTAGAAAATGACTTCGGAGAATACTATGTGCTTGGCTGTGAAGAGACCAGTGAGGAAACTGTGGTGACAAAGAGGCAAGGGAGGAGACAAGCCAACAAGAGACATGGTTACAGACCCGGACAACTCCAGTGGGAACAGGAGAAGAGCAGTTTATAGCACCTTTCAAAGTCCCCAGTTCTGGTGTATGAAAGAAAGCCAGTCCTAGAGTTCCTGTCCCTCGGAGAAGGGCTGAGAAAGAGGAGTGTGGGCTTGAGGAGTACCTGTTGTCTGCATGGAAGACGGGCATGCTCTCTGCTTCTTTGTTTCAAGAGTATCACAGTGTGATAAAACATACCTCTCTTATCTCTCTGCTACCATAGTTAGCGGAACAATCTTTTGGTGTCAGTGGCCAAGTTATTTAGCGGAAAGCCTTCTAGCGATCAGCAGAGGTGGCTGTTGGCATTCCCGTTTTCCAGACAAGACAACCAAAGCTCAGCCATGAACTCATGTCTTGACTTTTGTATGACCTGTTTCAATGCAACGCTCCCCAAACATGGAAATTCCATGCAATGTTAGCACTTACCTGTGGACCTTGTATCTACAGGAAAGGATTTTAGAACTATAGTCAATTACAGAAAGATGACTTGGTCAGAATCTTACTGTGCATCAGGGCTGGTGAGCTGGCTCAGTGGGCATGGTGACCTGAATTCCTTCCATGAGACTTTCATGATAAGAGCACTGAATCCCATAAATTGTCCTCTGACCTCCCCGTATGTGAGCAGTGTATACAGCCTTACCACCGGGTACCTGCCCACATGCAATAATAGATGAAAATGGGATAGAATCTCCATCTATGCTCAACAGGTAGACCACCTCGTGGTGGTCTAGGAAATCAAAGAAATGCCCGCTTTATCTTCTGAGGCAAAGCAGAGAGCCGAGGGCGGAGCGCACAGGACTCAGTGGGATGAGCCCAGCGACTCTTTCCCACTGGGAGGAGCAGAAGACAGCTCTCCTTCCCGAAATTTCACTCACAGCTTTCTTCTTTGCCAGTTCCAGGGCTATTTCTCTCTTTTCTTCCTCACGGATGAGCTTGCGCTGCTGGACATAGTCCAGATGCTTGACTTCTCTTTCAAAGTAGTAGTTCACGCTCGATACCTGCCAGAAGCAAAGGTAGGTGTCAGAGCTAACCCCACAGGGACACCCGCCAGCCCGTGGTCTTTCCAAGGCTGGCTTGGAATGCCTGTTTCCGACCGCACCTCCCAGCTCCGACTGACCACAACCTCATAGCCACTTTTCTGAACAGAAAGGAGCTGATTTTCCAGTCCCCCAGAGGGCTTAGCGTGCAGGCATATGGACATTAACAGGGAGGCAACAGAGGCCTCCCTTGGGGAAGGCAGTCAGGGCAAACATGGTGCCTGTTAGGAACTAGCCTGATGCTGGGACTTGCCAAGAGTGCAATCTGTATATTTAATGTGAGTGCATATGTACTTAGGGTTTTCATTTATCAATGAAACCTTTTATACCCTCATTTCTTAGCATTGCCTGAAACACTTAGATGGTGAGCCTAAGGTCGGAGGGGACAGAGCATTGCGGTTCAGAAGCAGGGCCAGCAGTATGAGAGGTTTGAGGGGGTGACAGGGAGACGTGTGCGTATGTCAACAGAGTCCTTGGGGAAGGACCGCACTGGAGTGACAGAGCTCAAACTCAGTTATAGTTTGAAAATAATGACTCTCCCAGCCTTCACGTCATTCATTCCCCGCCCCCGCATGTGTGATTATTTTCCTTAGCTTCAAACTATCTAATTCATACGATAAAACATTCTTTTGTTATTTAAAATGCACAAGTTTCTCATTCTCTTGTAAAACAAAAGCACCGACATTTCAAACACTCTTAATGTATGCACCCAAAGGTTGTCGAGATGGTTTGCCAGGTAAAGTGACTGCTGCCAAGTTTGCTGACCCGAGTTCTATCCCTGGTACCCACATGATAGAAGGAGAGAACCAACTCCTTCCTGCAAGGTTTCCCCTGACTTCCACAAGTGTGCCATGGCACACACCCACCCCAACACAAATAGATAAGTATAATTTTTAACAAAGAAATGCCTCAGTAACATTAAACTTGCAAAGTCGAGACTTTACTAACCTCATTAAAGGAAGGGCGACTTAACGTCCAGGGAATTTCTAAGATATGCAGAGTCCCATAATAGTCAGCTATGGCTATAAACTGCTGCTTAGCTGAAAGGTTAAAAAAAAAATGGGGAGAAATTCAACAAACAGAAAGTCATCCGAAGAGGTTGAACACAAAAGCTGTTTTGTTTGTGGTTTCCCGAAGGACCAGCTGTGGTTGCCGGGCTCCTGGCAATTCCATCGTGTGCTCATGACTAGACTATGCAAACATGGACAAGTCATCTTTTCCAGTCGATGAGATGAAAGCTGAAACTCTGAGTCTTTGTTAGCCGCCCCCCCCCCCAATCTTGCTCTCTTGGTGTCTATATAAGGACAGAAGCTGACGGCTCATTTTCTCCGTGGTCTTAGGAGAGCAGGGATAGCAAGTGGTTCTAAGCCCATTCCAGCCTACACACCAAGAGCCTAAGGATCGTGCTGTGTAGATGACCTTCTCAGACACAGCCCAAATCACGGTTTCCTATGACAAAAACATTGCTTAAAAAGCAAAACAAAACAAAACAATGTGTGTGAGCATACTTATTCTCCATGCTTCCTGGATGCTTCCTTCTTCCTTCAGGAGGTCTGATTCAAATTGCTGAATCCCACACCCAAACCCTACAGGTACCAAGTTTTGTACCCAGGATAGGAAAACATGTTTTGGTCATGCCTCCTGGCTAACTGGAAACCAGACTAAGACAGTCTAGAGATCCTGAAGCCTGAGTCTCAGGGTGGGGTGTTTCTAGGAAAGAAATCATAGAGACAATCTTGTGCCTATAGACTTTTGGAAACAAAGGGAAAGTTCTTCTAGTAAAGACAGGCATACTGGAGTTACACAGAAAATATCATTTGAGCCAAACAGAAAACAAATTGAAAATCGTAAAGAAAAAAAAAAAACAAAGACTTTTCTACAGATACATCCTTGAATGTATGCTTCTTTGGTAGTATATTTTACTCCTATTTAACCCAGACACTAAGGCTTAGTAGATAAATATTATAACCCTAGAGGACTGTGTGCGCCCATGAAGGCTTGGCATGGTTATTGGAAGCATCACTGAAGTACATAACATTTAAAAAGTTGACAAAGAAACACAACTCAACATTTCTGGAAAAGAAATAGCCAAAAAGCAACACGGCTTTAGGACCACTCCGTGAGGCTGAGAGGAGACTAGATAGAAGCTTTCCATTCTGTGGTTGAGAATCGGCAGTGGCCTGACCTTACCAGAAGTCCAGAAATTGCTGCTGCTGAGTCCAAACAGCAGGGAAGCTTTGGGGCTCCCAGAGTTTGGGAGCAAGATGGGAATGCTGTTGGAGGGACGCGGGAAGGGAGCGGGAGGGAAAGAGGAGAGACGGGGGCAGAAGGGCCCGCAGGACCGGTGGGGTGTGAGACGACGGGGCAGGGGCTTTTCTGGTGAACACCAGAGCCTCCTAGCGGCCGGAAGAAGGCACGTACAGGAGAAGGTCCAGGGTTTGATGTAGGTGATCATGGTGATGCAGATGTTCTGGGACTGTGCTGGCTCATGGGTTTTCTCCAGGAGGTCCCAGATGTCCACGTACCCATCCTCCCGGCCGATGTAGAACACTCCAGGCCTTGTCAGGGACCAGTGCCCTGCCGTGTACCTCTTCGGTGCACAGCATGTCTGAAGGAGAGGTCCAGTCTAAACACAAGTTTAAAAGGCACAGTGAGAACTTTTGCTGTGACTCAAGGGAAAGTCACAATGATTTTTTTTTTTTAAGTACAGTTCAGCTAACCTTGATTACTTAACCATAAGTTTATCCCACTGGAAAGTCTTACTTCCTTTTGTTGTAGGGTTTTATTTATTTATTTATTTTTTAAAGGAGAGACAGACACAGACACAAAGACGGAAGAGACAGAGCGCGGTGCATGCCGCATGCCACAGTGCCCACGTGGAGGTGAAGGACCTCTGTGTGGAGTCCGTCTCTCCTTTCACCTTTACCCACTGAGCCATCTTGCCAGCAACATTGTGGGTTTTTACATAGGACCAGTTATTTTTCTCTCCCATCTATTTTTATAAGTAACCTCTGTTTCTTTCCTGTTTTAGTTGCTTTTTAGGAAACATTGAATCTTCCAGTTTGGCTTCATAAGGTCCTGGTAACCCTTTGCCTCTGAATGGATTGCTATTTCTATGAGGTTCTGTGGACAGCAGATACAAGGAGAGGGGAAGGAGGTTTCTCCTCTAACTTTGTCTTGCTGCCTGAGATCCGATGCCCACTGGAGCAGTGCTATCAGAAGCAAACGAAAAGGCGAGTGTTACGTTTTCGTGTGTGTCTCGCACAGACTCATGTGTTGAATGTTGGTTCCCAGCTGGTGACACTATGTTGGGATGGTCTGGAAGACTTTGCGCCTGCCCCTGATCCTGGTCCTGTGCCTCTGCTTCCTGTCCACCTCGAGGTGAGCAGCTCTGTCTGCATGCTGCTGTGATGGGGATGTCCTTCTGCATATGTGTTTGTCTTATTGGTCGATGAAGAAAACACTGATTGGCCAGTAGCCAGGCAGGAAGTATAGGTGAAGCTACCAGACTAGAGGATTCTGGGGAGGGGATGAAGAGAGGAGTTTCGAGGAGATGCCATGAAGCTACTGGGAAGACAGGATGCTCTCTGGTAGGATAAGGCCATGTAGAAATACATAGATTAATAGTTATGGGTTAATAATTAAGAGAGAGCTAGCCAGTAAGAAGCCTGAGCCATTGGCCAGTTTCTAATTAATTTAAGTGTCTGAGTGTTTATTTGGGGCTGAAGGGCAGCAGGACCAGGTAGGACAGAAACTCCATCTACAAATGGCTCCCTCAATGTGGGGCAAGAATTTCCACATAAAACCTGACAAAAGCTTAAAAAGGGATTCTAAAAAACAAAAGAACAGAGACAAGCACAGCTTCTTTGTAGCAGCATTTTCTCAGGAGGGATCTGTTTGCTAGAGGCCAGCAGAGGCTCACTGCTCCTTTAAGAGAGGCTTCCTAATTCAGCATTAGCCTCAAAAAAACACAGGGCTCTTTTAAGAGACCCTGATACCAAACAATTAAATGGTGTTTACAGCATGCTACTTGGTGGTAGCATGGACCTAGAAACTCTGCAGAGTGGCAATAAGCATGGCTCCCACCAGTACTCTGCTGTGAAGTTACTCTCAGAAAGCCAAGGAATGGGGTAGGGCCAGCCACCGCTTTAATTTTAGCCATGCTGTTTAGCAGATAAGACTCAGGTGGTCAGAAAAAGATAGAGATAAATAGTAAAGATAGATTCAGATGAAGAAAAACCTCTAAAGGGTTTACAGTGTGTTTAAAATTATATGTAGGCTGGGAGAGAAAAGAAAAAGGATAAAGTGCTTAAAAAAGAAATACAGGGCTGGGTGTTGGTGCTGCACGCATTTAATCTCAGCACTTGGGAGGCAGAGGCAGGCAGATCTCTGTGAGTTCGAGACCAGCCTGATCTACAAGAGGGAGTGCCAGGACAGTATCCAAAGCCACAGAGAACCCCTGTCTCGAAAAAACAAACAAACAAACAAACAAAAAGCCACACAAGGATGGAAAACACACAGAGTTTTTTCACAATCTCATATTTCTCACAAAGGGACATGGTAATCTAGATTTCCTACAAAAAAAACAAACAAAAACTGGTTTTCCCTGCCCTGCTTCACTGGATTTAATTGTTTTTTTCCAATTTATTTTATTTTATTTATTTGTCTTGGCAGTTGGCTCCTATCTGGCAGGATCCGTCTCTTAATCCTGACCCGATCTTACCAGTGCACGCATGTGTCTGGACAAGCAGTGCTCGGCCGTCTCTGGGCCCTCAGTCTACAAATGCCAACTTCCTGAACCTGACA